TTTGCCCTGAAATGCTAAACTGTAATATACACCCTGAGTTCAAGATATATTTTGAAAGAGGAAAGGAAAATGAAGTGTTCTGAGTGTTATCCAAACCAATACTGGCAATTCTGCTTTACTTGCATTTTCTCTTTAAATTTATGGCTTGCCTATAAATCTCTCTTCTTTTGTAACAGAACATAACAATTTTAATTTCTACAGCTGGAATTTTAAGTATTGTGGAAGTACATTGAGAATAATAAGTAGCATTTTTTTATGAAAAAGTGTTTCAAAAGATGAAATTTATTTTCTCCTCACTGTAGTTTCAGTTTCTGCATTTCTTGGTCATAGTTTCTTATACTCAAAGTGAAAATGAATATCTTGCGTACTGAAGCATGGAAAATAACGTTACTTGGAATTTTCTATGGAAATTATCACTGAAGTGATTCTGTGGTTCAAATCTTCTGACATTATCAACTACTTCTGAAGAAGAAAAACTCTTTACATACACATTTACAACTAGCAAAACTCTTTAGCATCTAAGAGGCTTTGATTAATTGGAATTGACTTTAAAGTACCCTTAATGATGTCCCTTTAGCTCCCAGGTAAGAGGAATACTGCTGAATCTACTCTAAACCAGGGGGTATGCTTTGTGGAGAAGTGGACACGAAATGAAGCCTTGCTTCAAATGTGATGTGGAGATCTACTTCCTCTCTTTTGTGTCTTCGTGCCTTTAATTTATGTGGTTTTTGCCTTTAAGACTTGGCGTGTAACGCAGATCCTCTGTGAGTTGGAGAGAAAAAGTACAGCCACTTGGTCATTTGGTCCTAACTGGTGTGAAATGGAGAGAAACGCAGGCGTTTGCAGAGCGCTGTGTGTTTCCGTAGTGATGCAAGGGCAGTGACCGGGGTCAGAGCCAGGCAGGCATCTGCAAAGGAGCCAGCTTCTGTCTATGGTTTCCATCACTACCGTTGACCTTTTCATCCTCCTGTCTTCTCTTGCTGCCTCTGCCAGCTATCAGTCATCTGTTGTGTACATATTCTCTTCTTTTCATCTATCATGTTATACTATGTCTGTTGTGTAAGTAGTGTCTGTATGTTATTTACCTATATCTTATTATCACAGAAGTCATTTGTTATTTCAAAAAAGGCCAAGACAAAAAAAAATCCTATACTAGGAAGTCTGATATGCAAATTTGCTGTGAGAATTAGTCCTGACTGTTGGACCTCTGTCTACAGATGCTTAAGTAGTCCTGGATTTAAAACATAGCCAACCCAGGTGCCAATGGCTCCGCCTATAATTCTAGCTACTCAGGAGGCTGAGATCTCTGAGAACCGTGGTTCAGAGCCAGCCCAGGCAGGAAAAGCCTTGGAACTCTTATATCCAATAAACCACCAGAAAACCAGAAGTGGTGCTGTGACTCAAGTGGTAGAACACTTGACTTGAGGTGCAGAGCTGAGGGACAGCGCTCAGACCCAGAGTTCAAACCCTATGACCCCTCTCCAATGTATAGCAAAGTTATTTTTAGCCCTGATGCCCCCAATGACCTAGTCCCAGTACTACAGACACTGTAACCTTTTGGTTAATCTACAATCTGAGCTGCTGTCCGACACATTTTGATAATAGAACGAATATGGACCCCTCTGCCTTTTCCTTCACAGTCACCAGATAGTTATGTGATCACCTGCACTTGTCCTGCTAGTCAGTGTGGCTGCCTCAGTCCAGCTGCACATTTACAAGTGTGTGTCAGGAACAGACTGCCTGTGTTCTGTGGCTAGACTTGTGAGTGAATTCCTCCATGCACCATTCCTAGGTTGTAATGTAGAGTCAGGCTAAGTTCTGTAGGACATGATCCTTTCTGTAAAGGCTTTGCACACTGGTTGTAGGGACAAGCTGTTTTCGTATGTATGTTATGAAAACAAGCCGCTGAGGCCTTGGAATTCCAGTAGCATCCTGAGAACAGCACTATGGTGATGGGGTCCCGTGGCACCATCTGTGTCACAGAGTCTGGGGGAGCAGAGCTGGAAGTGGGGGCTAAGTTCATCCTCCACAGAGGATGACGAACTACTTAAGAGAATTCACAGGCACACCCAAGAAAGACAAGTACCCCTTTTCTGGGCACCAACTGTATCCAGTTAGGCTAGAGTAGAAGATTCTAAGTGTTTTTTTGGTTGATAGAAACATTGTTGAGCCAGGTAGACATTTTCCCTTAGCTACAAAGTCCTGGGTAAGAAACAAATACAGTATGTCATGGTCTTTCACCTGAAAATCAGTTGGTATGAGGAGTGGAAGAGATTATTTGGGATATTGGAGATGAAGGCCTGCAGATTTTTCTGTAAAAGGCCAAGTGGAGAAGGGCCCTGGCATTGCAGGTAGCACGGGTGAGTGCTAGCTTCTCAGTCTGCGCCAGGGCCAGGCTGTCTGCAGGGAACCCCACTTTACCCACAGGCAGGACACAGTACTTGCTGTATTGCTGAGTGTGCTGGCCCTGACCTGGGGAGTGTGTGTGGCATGGGGAGGCCCTTCTGTCCTGTCCCATGTCACCACTGCTAGGTTCTCAAAGGATGGAGACCTGTGGGACTCCTTAGTCTTGTCTGGAGATGACATAGTTGGCATAGTTTAGTTGTCCAACCACATAAAATCCCTACTTTGAAATTTTTGTCTCTCTGGGGTGTGTATCTGCATCTGTGAGGGGCATGAAGGGAGATACCCTGTGAGGTCGACACTAGCATCTCTCCTTCGTGAAGGAGTTCTGGTCTGCGGAGGATGTACAAGAGGAGTGTATCCATCTACATTTCCAGGTTTAGCATTCAGAGCTTTACAAAATCATATCCAATCCCAAGGAAGGTAAAGTCCATGTCCTTTGAAGTTGGTCTTAGTGAAAATTAAAGACAGTTCCCCCTCACATGTAAATGTTCAGTGGGGAAATTAGTGAAAATTTAGTTGAATTGAGTGTAGAAGAAGATGTGGAATACAACTAAAACTTATGAAGACCAGACTTGTATTTAGAGTTGTAAATGCAACAACCAGTCCGTGGTGTGTATGGAGTGGCTGGGGCAGTGGCTGGAAAGCCACCTGACCAGTTTGCAGTGCCAAGGTAGCTCTGACGCTGAGGTACAACCTTCATCCATTGTCACCCTGCACAGGTACCCCTATTTGCTGCATTTCCTGTCTTTCCTCTGCTTCGGGGTATTTCTTCTGGTGACCCGAGCAGGCCGTGGCTTTCATTTTTTAAGTGCTAAGCAGGAAACAAAATGGATTAGACAGCATTGCAACTAGCACCGGAAGGGCTACTTCACTGGCTCTGTTCCAAGGATGGCTGGGGAAAGCCCAAAAGGTGAAAGCAGTGAATCAGTTGCTTCTACAGGGGCTGGAGTAGCTGTCTCCTCTGGTTAGCTGAACAGTGTGTGTGTTCGTTCTTGCATGCGTGTGTGCACGTGTGTGTGACATGGAGGGAGCGTATTTCTGATTTGCTTTTTAAGGGAAAGAAGAGCCACTTATCCTGTAAGCAAGAGATAAAAGATTAGGTCAGGCAAAATTTTTCCCAATCCTCTTGGAGTGCCAGTCCTTACTCCCTTTTACTCTGCTCTCAAATATGTTGAAATACAGTAGACAGGTGAGGGCTGTCTGCCCATTGGCATTCTACTTTCCTTGATGAGCCTGGACCTTCAGCAGAGGCTTTGTGGATCTTCTAGGCTTTGGGGTTTCATTCTTTTTCAGACAGTGTTTTATCACCTTTCTTCAAAGCCATGTGTGTCTTTCATTCTGTTGTGTTGCAGGTTCAGTGCTTTGTAGAAAGAAATCAAAAGGGTAAAGTGTGAAAGCAACTTCACAGCCAGCCTTTGGAGAAATAGTTTATTCTGGTATTTTCCTCATGAATTGCAAGGATACTTCCCAGCATGCCAGGGTGTATATGGAGGCGATGGTAGTAGTATTGTGGACATTTGTTCTAGAATACAGTTTCACAAGACACTTCCAGAAGTGATTGGGTATCAAAAGTGATCTATGAACAGCTAATGGCTGCAATTGTAAAGTTCACCACAGTGGTGAGATCGGATATATTAAGCCACACTGGCTTAGTATTTGCCTAGTTATTGTACAAATCCTTTCTTTCACAGTGGCTAATACGCATTTAGTCTAAGAAAAGCTTAATGACTGAGAGAAGGTGATGCATGTTCCACAATTTTTGTGGCTTTGCGGCCTCGCACTCAGGTACTAGTCATGCATGTCATTAGGCAGATGGACACCGTGAGCTCTGAAGTCTCAGGGCCAGTCAGCCTGTGGAGGGCTGCTCCCTTCAGGACAGGGGATCCTACTACTTGATTGAAACTTGAATTTTTTTTTCTTTGAAGAATGATGGATGGTTTGATCAAAATGTTAGAACTCTTTTTTAGACAGATTTCAAAAGAATTCAAGGGCAGAATCAGTATTCTTGGTACATCGGAACTTAGCATTAGAAAAAGCTGTTGCATTGTTAATGAAGGTTATTTTTTGTCTCCTACCCACCCATAGTGGCTTAACATTTAGGGGAGATGTAAACATGGTCTTGACCTTCCTTCTCCTCTGCATGTGAATCTTTGGCTTTGACGTCTGAATTCTTATTTCAATGATAAGTACTATCCTCATGTATTTTGAATTTTAGTAAGTTCTTCTTTTGCTTTGTTTTTCTGATGTTTCCTTTGGTCTTAGTGATTTGGCTTTCATAAAAAAAATACTCTAGTTTAAAGTCCTTGTGACTGACATGCTTGATTAAGGGGGAAAAATCTCATTAATAGAAGATGACAATCAGTAATGGTATTGGCCAGCTCTCTCCAGCCCAGACTGTTACACCATCCATTGTCAATTCAGTTGATGAGAGTGCATGCAGATCAGGCAGCTCTCTGTACCAGCAGACGTGAGTGAGATCGCCAGATTTAATTCTGGACCCTTGAGCTGCAACTGAGCCAGAAGGGGCCAGAGCTGAGCATGTATTGAGAAAATAAGTTTCATGTAGCAAGAGCGTTGTGACTATCTCATTGAGGATGTATAAGGGCAGGGGAAGATGTCAAGGTGAATGATGCATGTTTTTTTCTTTTCCAACTGCAAAGGCAGAGAAAACATAGTTTTATAACTGTTTCCTAAGATAGACTTCATTAAATGATGCACTTCATCCATTGAGACCATTCTGAAGGGTTTTTTTTCCTTCTCTTGCAGGCGACATCACACAAAAAGGATATGAAAAGAAGAGGTCAAAATTAATTGGAGCCTACCTTCCCCAGCCTCCACGTACGTACAGGTTGATGGGTGCATGAGCATCTGGGTTTAACTGAGACAGAATGGAAATTCCTTAGTCCGGAATGTGCATGAAGAGCACACATTTGGCTGGCACGCCCACCATATCTGATTCCTTTGTGCGATGATGACACATACGTTTTGTAAGTCTAGAAGGCACATGTGGTTTTCTTAGAAACATGCTTAATTAATTTAATAGGTCTGTTGGTTACTTTGAAATGCTATACTGGCAAAATGTGAGTATTTGTGATTTAAAAGTGATCTTTGGATTAATGGATTAATTATCGTGGTTGATGATGATCTACAAAAGGGTGTTGGGGATGTCATGGGGTGGGGGGGAGATGCCTAGAAAATGACACAAAAGTGTGGAAGCAGGTTGTGTTTGGAGGTGGCTCTTGTATGCATGGCACCAATCGCTGAAAAGTGCCAAGAGTGTCTCTAGGTGCTTAGGCGTGAAGCCTCTCCTGCACTTGACCCAGGCTCTGTCCATGTCAAGGAGAAGAGACGGTTCTGGGCACAAGTCCCAGCGCCCCCTCCCCTGACAGTTTACTTGGAGGGCTGGACTGTGAATGTGGCATTGCCATTGTGCTTGTAGTTTCGTTGGGGAACTTGGGTTGTGTGTGTACGGTTCCTGTCTGGATGTTAAGGAGGTTGGTGCACAGTGGCCCGTGTGTGTAGGCTTCTTGGCTGATGCTGCCCTTCCCGTGGTTAGCGCTGTGTGTGAGGGGCAGGGAAGCAGTGTCACTGGAGCAGAGGGGCCAAGGTGGCCGGACCCTGGCCAGAAGGCACTGGGTGAGGGTCGTCCACCTGGCCTTCCCCCCACTGGACTCTGGTCTCAGGTAGAAGCCCTTGCTGTTCCCCCGGGGTCCACGTCCAGTGGTTAGCCCGGGCCCAGCTGCGGGCCGGCTCACCGTTGTCTTTACGGAACAAAAGTGAAACAGAAGCAGTTCCCGTCCCGGAGGCCGGTGTCGGAGGAGGCCGGTGCTGGAGCCACAGGCCGGCCCTGCGCTCCCTCTGGCGCTCGGTGGCTGTTCTGCATGGGGTCGGCAGCTCTGCTCAGCGCTGTAACAAATTTAAAAAAAACTAAAGTCTGAATTAATTAGTTTTTTTTCAACTTGTTACAGCAGCGAATGGAGCTGCCGTGGTTCGGTGTAGACTGCAGCACAGTGAAGTGGCGACGAGGAGAGCCTTCCGTCCTGCCCACATCGGGGTGTGCGACATCCGAGAAGCCGCGGCCCGGGAGCGGGAGCGGGCCGCCAGCGCCGCGGGGAACCGGCCTCTGTTTTACTTTCGTTTCGGTGAGCTGCGTGGCCCAGACCCCGGCCAGGGCCAGCACCCGGGACCAGCACCCAGGGCCAGCAACCAAGGCCAGGCATGTCCCAGAGACCCAGGCTGAGAGTCAACACCCAGGGCCAGCACCCAAAGCTGGGCATGGCCTGGAGACCCCGGCCAGAGTCCAGCACCAAGGGCCAGTACCCAGGGCCTAGCGTAGCCCAGAGACCCTGGCCAGAGGCCAGCACCCAGGGTCAGCACAAGGGCCTGGTGTGGCCCAGAGACCCTGGCCAGGGGCCATCACCTAGGGCTGGGCATAGCCCAGAAACTCGGGGTTCCATCACCAAGGGCCGGGCCAGAGCCCAGCCAGAGCCTGTCACCAGGCACAGGGCATGGTCCAGGCCTAGCCAGGGACCGACACCCAGGGCCTCATGTCATGCTCCTAAGGCAGAGCTAGCATGGACCGGCATTGGCCTATCCAGAGCCGGGCCCTGGCAGTGTCGATGTTCTCGCTCACAGGAAGTGCTACAGGACATTTGAGGAAAGAAAGGCTGCATGACAGATCATGAAATCCTTCTTAAAATGGTTGGCCTTCTGATTGTCTTAAGACCAGAAACCTAGGCAAAACGTGATTCAATCTTTATTTTGATAAGTAGAAGATTAGTGTCACCAAAGATCAAGTTTAGAAACCTTTGAACTGGAAACATCAAACCAGCTAACCATAGGGTATATTCTTGGTGGGGGGGAGGAAATGGGGAGATCCCACTGAAAGATGGAATTACTTCCTATGGAGCATTGAATGGAAGAAGCCCACAAGGTGGAAGATGACTTGAAAGTACCCTTGAACAGGATAAGGAAATAAGCATTTGTAGATTGGGTTTTGGGGTTCGTGTTCAGGGTTCTTTTTCAAATCAAATGCACTGTTTTAAAATCACGGACAAATAACAAGACTGGGGGTATGGCTGTCTGCATGTGTAAGACCCTAGGTGTGATTATGTAGAGGAGACGGGATGGAGAGCGGGAGGGGGTGGGAGCTGAACTTGGGTCTTGCAAGTGGGGTCTGTAGCTCACTCATGCAGCTGGTGGTCTGTGGCTACCATCCAGGAATCTCAGAAGTGGACACCCCAGCTGTCTCTCAGCTTTGGCTGTCACTTATCCCCCAGTGACCATTCTGATGGTTACCACAACATTTTAAGGAACAGATAGAGGGTTGAAGAATCAGTGATAGAGTCGCATGATACCTGTGAGGTCTGTTTTGTTTTGAATTTTGGATTGAAATATGTAACAATAGAACTTCCTCAGGAGTGTGGGTTTGCTGAGCTCTGTTCCACACCACAGGCCAGCTTAGCCTGGCCATGATTCTAGGCCAGTCCCATCACTTAGGATAGTGAGTCGGTCCCAGCCGCTTTGCAGTGTTTATCACTCACTCACTGGCTCAGAAGCTGTTGTTGGGCGGAGAATCCACAACCATCTAGCACTTTGTTCTGTGGGAAGGAGTAAATAAAACAGTCATTTTTAAAGCAGAAGATTCTTTCCTGTTTCTATCTGTGGATTAATTCTAGGATCTGTTTGAAAGACACTTTTTTTTTTTTAGAATAGTGTACTATACAGTTTCCTATAAGGAGATTGTGTTTGGAGCATCTTTTATTTTATTTTCAGTATTGTAAGTTGAACTTCAGGCCTTGCTCTTGCTAGGCAATCACTGGAAGCCAGGTCTCCAGACCTTTTGGCTTTAGCTTTTTCTTCAGATAGGATTTCATTTCTGCCCAGGGCAAGCCTCAGATTTCCTACCTGTGGTCTCTTGACATAGCTGGGATGCCCTGCCCCACTTTGTTGTTGAAATCGGGTTTTACTAACATTTCACTCAGGCTGGCCTCAAACCTTGATCTTCATCTCCTGAGTAGATAGGATTATAGACAGCAGCAACCACATCTGGCTTATATTACTTTGGTTTACCGAAGAAAATATCGAGATTTCTCCAGAAAGTATTCTAGAAATATTTGTAAGATGTTGCTTAAGACATATGACTAAAGTTTGAATGAAATTAGAATGATTAGCCCCCAAACTGGAAATTCAGTCTCTTCCTGGAATGCCGTGCATGCCGTGTAGGAGGGAGGAGAAAGGCTCTTGGAGAGCTGTGGTGAGGTGCATGCTGGGAAGGGAGGTTGTCTTTGCTGAGTGTGTGTTCAATGCCCTACCCAGCTCAGTCCAGATGAGAACTAATGGGGGTGGTGGGGGTAAATCAGAGAATTTAGGCGACAATTATTTTCCAAGAGTAAGTACTCGCGGGAACTTACTCATGTAGCATTTGTCCTCTTGTAGTTTTTTTGTTTTTCTTTTTATTGTTTTGTTTTGTCTTTTAGACCACATAGTATCTCTTTTGACAATTTTTTTTCCCTTAAAATTTCCAAACCCGGTTAAACTTGTAAAAATAGAATCCACTCTCTAGCACTCATCTGGGATGTCGTGATACGACTATCAGCTTGTGTAATACATCTCTTCTGCTTTTAGGGCATGCAACATGGTGATGGAAAGTAGTGAAATTTCAGTGTTACTATGAATAGTAGAACTTCCCTTGCCCAAATATAGTCCTGCTTTCCTTTGGATGCTGGCTAGGTGTCACTTACTGCGTGTCTGGCCAGGAAATGCTTCTCAGCACAGGACTGATACTCCACACTCAGCCTGCTTTTGCTTCAGTAGCAGGCAGATCCCTGTTCAGTTATAAGGACCAAGGATTCACAGTGATTCAGGCCTTTCAGAGATTTGATTAACTTAGCTTGTATGAATCAGTTAGCATGTCTGTCTTCTTTCCTTTCTGCACCCTACGATGTCTGGACACAATGTCTGTGGTTCGAGAGAATACATGAATTCCCATTTCCTCTCCCTGGAGACTATAGATGGCTCCGTGTACAATAGAGGTAGACACACTGCCCTGTCTGTTCTTCCCCCTGCCACCCTGCTGGCTGTCCTCAGCTCCCTAGGCGTTTGTGCTGTTTCTTACATTAGGACTCCTGAGCATGCTGTGCCTTTTGTCTGTGCCAGGTTTGGTTCAATGCTCAGCTTAAATGCCACTTCTTCAGGATTTCTTTTCTGGTCCCTGAGTTAGCACAGCCCTAGGTGCTGGTCTTCAGGAAGTCCCACCTCTGCACCACTTCCTATGGCTGTAGGTGGAAGTGCGCCCTCCCCCCCCCCCCCCCCCCCCCCCCGCCCCCAGCAAGAGCGATAGACGGCCTGAAGTTCTCTTGTCCTTGGTGCACAGGAAGCTGTGCCTGCCCACAGGTGAGTGCAGCTGGAGGCAGATTGAGGCAGCAGTTGGCTTTTCCTGACCCTTGAGTTCCCCCTCCCATCCCTGCATCCACTGAGCCCCATCCGGCAAGCAGCTCAGTGTTTCCTTGTGCCAAGACAGCAGGAGAACTGGGCCAGATGAAGCCACTGTCAAAGTGCTCAGTGCTCAGGTTCATGGGCTGCCTCCAGCCTCTGGCTTCAGGCCTGTCTTACCTGTGATGGCCTTTCTGTATTTCTAATCTGGATGAACTCTTAAGTGGCAGTTGGTAACATACAAATGTGCTTGTCAATGAGGGAAGTGTCAAAAATAACATAATTTGGGACCTTAGCAGACTCAGCTAATTCCAATGAGGTGAATTCTGTGTATTTTTGGAATTCAGTGTGTAAAGCCCCCATGTTTGGTGCTCTGACTGAGACGTAGGCAGTTGTTACATGAATTCTGTCACCATGGCCTCTTCAGTGGCCAGTGTGGAGACAGCTTTATCTGAAAACCACATGCAGATTTCCCTCCCAGATTGTGAAAAGCAAGTTGCCTAGACTTGTCAAGAGTTTAGCATTGGTGAATTCTGTGTTTTGGGCACATACAAAATGAAAACATTTACAGTTGAGGATGTGACCCTGAGCCAAGTGCTGTTTGTTGATTTGCCTAGACAGCAAAGCTGGCTGACCAGCTTGCTTGAGTCAGTTGTGGCTCTGCTCTCATTCTTCAAGTTGACGTCACTGGGATTCCTGCAGCAGGGGCACACGGCACCACAATTTTCATTCTACCCAACAGTTCCACATCCTCCATATGGAAGCCACACCAGCTGGCATGCATGACCTCTTCCTAGCCTGGGCCAAGGGACACATAGGTGTGTGTGCCAGGTGAGTCTCCTCAGCTGAGAAGCTGTGCTGTTCCCTGTGCCCGTGGTACAGGAGGCTGAGGTACAAGGTTAAATCTTAAGACGAGGAGGGAAGTAGCAAAGTTGAATCTGAGAGGAGGAGAGAATGAGTATGAGGTTAGTTTTTGCCTGTTAGTCACATGGCATGAGTTCCTTCAGCTTGAACCGAGGGAGGCTGTGAACCTCTGACCACAGAGCACAGCCCAGCTGTGTACCAGGTAACACAGCTGTGCTCTTCTCTGCCATGCCACTGAACGTTCTTCCCCCACGGTGTTGATTTGATCAGATGACTTTTCTGTTCGTGTGTGTGTCTGTGTGTGTGTGTGTGTGATTTAGTGAACTGGGTTCTTTGTCAGAGATACCAGTGGTGAAGAGGGAACATAGCAAAGCTCACTGTTTGTGTGGTTGGTTGAGTATGTCCACCAAAAGGAAGGCCATGCTCTCACCTCATTCTCTTGAGGGCTGAGGTTATAGGCCTGTACCTCCATACCTGCCTCAAACCTTGCTACCATAGCCACACACAAGCCAACACTCAGCTGATGGAATTAGATGTAAATGTCAAATTATCTCAAATTCTGGATCTGCATTTTCATAGTTGATGAGTTCCTAATCAAATTAAAATTTATCATAGGAAAATCACTATTAAGCACTTTTACAGCCACATTTATGTCTGTAAAAATAGAGACAGACAGACAGACAGAAATAACAATGCTGGTAATGTAACTACCAGCATTGGGAGGGAATTCCAGGCTTGTGTTTGTGAGGTTCTCATCCAAGTCGATGCAAAATGAACGTCATATGTTTCTTATCTGTATATACAAGCACTGTTTACTCTCTGGCAAAGTCTTTGATTGAATTCATTGTAGAAATAAGTGCTGCTGTGTAAACCACAGGGTATATAATTAGGTGCTGGAAGAGAATAGGACTCTATTCAGACACTTTTTTAAAAAATAGTTTTGAGCTATGGAAAATCCCAGGAGCCTCACAAAGAGTATCAGGCAAGTTTTGCATGCATGCCAGCCTGTAGTAACTTCCACAGGGCCCTGAGCATGCTCCATGGCTCAGTGGCTCATCCTCAGTGCCAGCAAGAAGCCAGGAGAAATGGATCCCAGTGCACACCCAGGGAACTGTCACTCACCTAGTCGATGTCCTTGTTTACCACCAAACCAGGGAATCTGTGGCTTAAGGGCAAATTCACTTGCCTGAGTTATGCAGTTAGTGGAAATAATACCACAGTTGGGATCAAGGTCACCTCCTCTTCAGTCCATCCATATGTTAAGTCTCCTTCCACATATCCCATGTGAGTTCCTTTAGAATCTTTGTTCAGCTAAGGTCTGTCTGTAATCCAAGCTATGTGGGAGTGGGAAGTGAGGAAAATCATGATCTGAGGATAGCCCCAGCAAAAGTGCAATGCCTCCTCTGAAAGTTAAACTATAGCAAAAAGGGTTTGGAGGAATGGCTTAAGTGGTAGAGCACTTGCCAGCTCAAGACACTTGAGTTCAGCCTGTAGTGCCGTCCCCGTCCCCTTCAAAAAAATATTGGAAACCAGTATTTTTCAGTTTATTTCTCTGATGATCCAGATTTGCTGTATGAACTGCTCGGTCTTCATCTGACCTCTCATGCATTCTGTTAGAGAGAATGGCTGGCTGGCTCCTGTGTGTCTTATTCCTACAGCAAACTTGAAGACTGTTGTGCTGTTTGGTGTATGTTTTACCATAGTATGGATGAAATACTCAAATGCATTTACTTACTAACGTGAAGTGATGGATTGTTTAGGTGTCAGAAGTATTATTAGGAATTTTCTTTGGGGAATCCTTTTTAATCATATGCTAGAAAATAATTGGCAAAAGTCCTGACATAAAGGGCTTCTCTGCTTTCTCTCCTTTTGGTCTTAAAGACGTTTGCACACCTGGCAGATAGAAATGAGAACAGTAGAGGGGCAGGGCTGAAGCTTGGGACTGGACACTGTGTTGGTTGGTCTCAGAAGACACAGCTGGAAAGGAGGGTGGCTGAGGCTGGAGGTGGCATCTGCTCAGAGGGGTTGGCAGCTGTCTTCTGTCATCAGCACGGTAAAGAGAAGTGAAATTGCGGAGTCCTGCCTGGCCTGAGTGGGGAAGGCCTCTGTGGGCGGGGAGAGGAGCTCGGGTCTGTGGGCAGGAGCCCAGGTGGGACCAGGCCTGGCTTCACTACCCTTGGGAGGACACCTGGAGTGAAGGGGAGGCACAGGCGATCTGAGGCTTCAGAGCGTAATGCGTTTGTTTGTTGGCCATGTGCAGGAACCTGGAAGAGCCAGGTGTGTGGGCACTCCGGGAGGGGCTAAGCTCTCTTGGCTCATCTCTTTTGGTGCCCATTCCCAGTTGAGGGGCAAAATAATCTTACTGATTGACATCGTTGTTATTTAAATTGAGGTGGCCAAGCCCCTGTAGGATCCTTAGGAAAATTACTCATTGATTCCAGAGTATTTCCAGAGTCCATTTGTGGGCCAGGGGGCTGTACTGGCCCTGTGGAGAGCAAGACAGACATCAACTCTTATTGGATCTTACGTGATCTGTCTCTCTAGTAAGGATCTGATTGAATCTACCTCTGTGTTAGCTGGGACTCCAGCAGCTTGAGAGGCTCCACGTTTCATTCCTGAGCAGCAACCTCAAATTGTAGTGGTTTCCACCTTGTTTATAAAATATATAAAAACGATGTTGAATAAACATATGGTTTCCATGTTGTTTATAAAAATATAAAAAATGCTGTCCAATAAGCAAAAACATTTATAAAAGGGATCCCTAAGATACGACCCTATTTGTTCATATTGCAAGCACTATTATTGGGCTTTTGAAGGCTCCTGGAATACAGTCCTGAGTGGGGCTCAGTTCTGGGGCTTTCCCTCTGGAGATCAAGGGCTGGGCTCATCCAGAGCACATCAAGTTCTGGACAGGTGTGTAGGAATTTCTGGAAGTGACCTCTGTCCCAAGTAAAAAGGCAGTTTGAGTAAGAAGAATGTTTAAATGCAACTGAAGAATAGCACAGACTGCCTGAATTCAAATCCTGCCCTGCCTTCACTCCCTCATCAAATGGCAGCGACAATAGCCCCTTGCCCATAGTTGTTGTTAGAAAATTGAATGTTATGATAATGAAGTACTTACACCAGTACTACAGGCAGTTGTCATTCCTGTCCAGAGATGGGCAGGGGAGTGCTGGAAAGTTAGGGAATATTCCCAGGCAGCAGGATTGGATCCCATGGCTGCGACTCCATGGAAGGACCTCTCCCTTGTGCTGTGTGCTCTCTGTGTTTTTTAGAACACAGACCATGTGGCTAATGGCCTATAAAATATCAGAGAGAGGGTGTCTGTTTTTTGGCCTTGTTGTATTTTTGCCTGAGTGGCAGTAACTGTTACGGGGACAGTCACCCTGTTTTCCTTGGAACACTTTCCTTCTCTGTAACTACTTTGGCCACAGTTTCTATGTGAGGCTCTTGATCTGACTTTAGATCTCCCGAGAGCAGAAACTGGACTAAAACATAACCACCTTCTTTGACAAGAGGAGCAAAACGTGGGAAAGAAAGGCTGGTTTCAGTTGTGTTGGGGTACTTTGAAAGGACTAGCAGTAGGTACGCCAACTGCCATGATAATGAAAAGGAAGAGAAGTGTTAATTTCTGAATTATGAAAGGGTACAATATGGAAAGGTGCCTATCACCTGCTTCCCCCTCCCTGCCCCCTGTGGACTTCTCCATCTGCCCAGAATCCCGGCCCTGGTGATAGTGGAGCCCCTGTGGTGCGAAGGGGAAGTGCTTGTGTTGTCTGAACGTGGTCCTCTGGCATGGGCCTGGCCGTCCACATCCGTGAGTGTGAGAGTGATAACTGTATATACTGCTTTACACTCCAGATGCTTTGATTTTGTAAATGGGAGATCTAGTATGGATAAAGTATATTCTTGAAAGATGGTTGATAGGGAATAACTGGAAGAGATCTAGTTTTAAATGAGAAGCACAGCTGGTCTGCCTTAGGTAACCTAATGTGGGACTGCAGTCATGCTGTCAGAGCTGTACAGAAGTCACCAGGGAAAGAGGAATAATCAATCCAGAGGAGTATTCAGTACTGAAAACCAGGGATTCACATTTCTATTGTTAATTTTTAAATGTCTGGTTTCTTTTCAATGACTACTAGTTCTTTTCTGAAGAAGCAGCCGTTGATTGCTAATACTTAGTAGAAATAATTTCTTTTATTTCTGAACCACAGTGATTAGATCCTTCCCGTAGCACTTGATTTGTATCTAGACTGCTCTTTGCCCCACTTCATTGTCTCAGTGAAATAGATGCTGTGATTTTCTTGGCAAATCTAGGTAATCTGTTTGACCAGTATTGCTGAATAATTTTTATTTGGCTAAGATAATACTTTTAGTAATTCATAAAACTGTACCTGACTATATACTTGGTTAAACTACTTTGCATGGAGTGAAGTGATTTCCAGGGAGAGAGTGATTTGGATTGAATAAACCAGAAGGGTTAGTTGCATACAGGTGACTTCCTAGTTACCTGAATTAGGTTGCCAAAATAGCCTAAAAGATTTATATTAAATATGACATTAAATATTAAATTTCTCAGGAGTGTATCACCTCTCCGTTCACCTTGATTCTACATCTTGGGCTCTGTCGTTCATCCGTGATGTTGATGTTGTGATAGGAGGGAGCACGTGCCGGTGTTTCTGGAAGCCTCCTCCGCTGGTGGGAGGGGCCTTCCACACCCCAGCTGAGGTGCTTCTAGTGCTTTACCCACTCAGCCACATCTCCAACCTCCTGTGTTTTCTTTTAAATCCAGGGGTGGACCAAGCCTTGCCTCAGGAACGCCGGGCACCTGCCACCCCTTCCTCCGCCTCTCGCTACCACCGCCGGCGGTCCTCAGGGTCTCGCGATGAGCGCTACCGGTCAGGTAAGCAAAATGTGGGCTCCCCTCCCTTCCTCTCCTTATTCCTCCTCCTCTCTCCCCTCTTCTTGACATAGGTAAGGACTTTTTTTTGTTATTGGAACTCAAACTTAGTATATATATAGATAGACTACTTGTGATACTAGCCTCAATTCAGACATGTACGTATTGCTTTATATTTTTCAAAGTGCTTCTCACAGGCAGGATTATGATAAGCAGGTTGAAATAGGTACATGCAGTAGAAGAGAACAGTGAGGCAAAGAAAGATCGACTCACCCAGCCTGTACCAGAGGTTAGGCATAGGCCCAGAGTCTTTTGAATAGTGTTCAATAGAGGCTCATGTGCCAAGCCACCCACTCTGTACTCTGTGATCGCTCTATCTGGCTTCCTGGCTCTTCTAGAAGGTCAGGGAGAAGAACAGCTCTGGGGCATCATGATCGTGGATGGGCTCTGAAGGAGAAGCCCATCCCTGCCTTACAAGTGATCCTCCACCTCTCAGGGAGCCTTCAGTGCCCAGGAAAGTGGGTGAGAAGGAAAGGAAGGAAGGAAGCGTTTGGTCCCCCACTTGCACCTCTGGTTTCCATAGCTGTATTAATGCCCAGCGCATATGGATAGCCCAGCTGACCCATGCAGGTGTCAGAGGCCCCATTCAAATAAATAGGAGAGTGAGGCAATGTATGGGTTTTAAATGCTTCCAGTGCCGTGCTCCTATTTTATCTGTGTATGTGCACAGACATGTCTAGAAAGTAGCCAAGTGTTTTTTCCTTTGTGTTTAGAGGGGAAGAAATGAAGTTGAGGGAGGTTATGTGATTTCTAACAGAGATAAGATAAGGCTCATAAAAGTTAGGGCCAATGATTTGCTCATTCATGTATGTCCAACACCTCAAAGGCCTGGCTTCTATTTTTTGAAAGAAGAAAACAAACATAACTCATTTGTGGAAGGGCAAGAAATGAGGCGGGACAGTCTAGATGATTAGGTGTCAGGTGTACCAGGCTTGGGGGTGTAGACACAGGTCTGGAGATCGCAGGTGTCCTGTGAGTGAGTGGAGGATGGAGGCTTGCTTCAGTACCATGGAGAGCACAGACCAGATGCAGAGGAAGCTGACAGACTCCAAATGCCTCGGACTGATAAATATTTAAGAAGTGGACGTCATTACCAGTGAGACTGAAATGTTTAGAAGATGAGAACTGATGCAAAGTCAGAAGTGTTCTGAGACCCGAAACGTCCTGAGTGCCAGCATGACGCCACCATTGGAAAATTCCACACCTGACCTCGTGTGATGGGCCCAGCAAAGCACAGGTGCACTCAGAATACTGCATACAGCTCCTTTCAGGTTATGTTTATGAAGTGGATCTGAAACATAAATGAATTGCTTATTTAGACTTGAGTTATATTCCCAAGATATCTCATTGTATAACTATTCTGAATTCTGATGAATTGAGAATGTGAAACTTGACCTCTAGTCCCATGCATTGTACATAAGGGATACCCAACTTGTAATAGCAATTGGACCTGAAGACTGAGTTCAAGTGTGTAAGAAAGGGAATCAAGAGTAAGGTCATGAGACCAGGTGTGGTGGCTTCTGCCTATAATCCCAGCTACTCTGGAGGCAGAGATCTGCAGGATCCCAGGTTGGAGGCCAGCCTGAAAAAAGTTAGTATGACATCCATCTCCACAAATAAGCCAGGTGATGTAGTATGTAAACCTGCTTCCTCAGGAAGTGTAGTCAGGCGTATTGTGGTTCAAGAATGGCCTGGGCAAAGTGGAAAGCCCTCTGAAAAATGACTAAAAAAGCACAAATGTCTGAGTGCGTGGCTCAAGTATCAAGTCATTTGACTAGCAAGTACAAGAGCCTGAGTTTAAACCCTAGTAACTGCTCAATAACAGGGGTGGGCACGAAGATAATCTAAGTGCTGCACATCTCGTTGCCACTATTTCTACACCAGATTGAATGCTTTTAGAGAATCAAGGTTCTGGTAGGAAGGTCGAAGATGGCATTTGTCTCAGATCTTCACTTGCTGTATGTGAAAACTTACATGGGCGTTCCTCACAGTCCCATGTCAGGTAGAGTGAAGACTCAGTTATTCCAGGCGTACTATTTTAGTTTTGAAACCTTTCTATGACCAACACCAAGCCTATGAAGAAAGCCAAGGTGGCATGGTGATTATCTGGGAGGAGAGTCCTTTGGTTGATGTGATTCCATTTTTCTACTCTTCCAAGTTAAAAGAGTCCAGTTATAAATTGACTTAGTTTACTTACAAATGTATATTGCCAGCTCCAGGACAACCACTCAAAACAGATTTTTTAAATGAAGTGTAATTGATAGGCTAAGTTCTTGTAAAATGATCATATAAAATTGAGATCATATAAAATGCTCAATTACAGCTAGGTAAGAACTGGCTGCTGGTGCCTTATGCCTGTCATCCTAGGCTGAGACGGGGAGACTGAGGTTAGAGGCCAGCCTGGACACACATGCACCGCCCCTTCTCCATTGACACATGGCTGCTGCGTGCACTGAAAGTATAAAGCCATGAAAGTGAAAACTGGTCAACTGAACTTCATTAAACAGAAACCAGTGCTCTGAGAAAGACAGCAAATGAGAACAGAAGACAAATACTAGGTCGGATTGCAGACCTTTGCAAAACGTGGTTCTGACAGCACACTGATATCCCAAATAGAAAAAGATCTCTTAAGAATTCCAGGTAAGGGCTGGGGGCTTGACTCAAGCAGTAAAGAGCTTAGTCGATGCAAGATCTGGGTTCAATCCCTTGTACTGCAAAGCAACAAAACAAAACAGTCCTCCTCTAAGAAAATGGCTAAATTATAAAAAAAAAAAAGTTCTGAACAGATACCCCTCCTTAGAAGATAAAGAAATGGCAAATAAGTACAGGAAAAGATGCTTGGCATCATAGATCATCAGGGAGATGTGAGTTAATATGACAAGATACTCTTAGAAGGATTAACATCCAAAACAGTAACAAGACAGAATGCTAGGAAGATACGGAACATCAGAGACTCTTCCTCAGTGGGGTGAGAATGCAGAGTTCTCTAGTGCTCAAAAGACACATTGGCAGCTTCTTATAAAGCTAAACAAGCACTTACCTCATGAACTATTAGTCCTGCTCTGAGGTTCTACCAAGAGGAGAAAACCCATAGGTGTTCCAAGCAGCCTGCTTAATTGCTAAAATTGGAAGCAAACAAGATGTCCTTTAATGGGTGAATGAGTAAATTGTCCCACATCCAGATAGTGGAATAATGATGGTAAGAAGAAATGAGCCATCAAGCCGTGAAAAGATAGGGAGGAAACTTTAAATGCATACTAAGTGAAAGAAGCGAATGTGAAAAGTCTGCATATAGTATGACCCACCTCTGTGACATTCTAGAAAAGGCAAAACTGTGTAGACCTTGAGAAGATCAGTATTTGGTGCATTTGGGGACAAAGCCAGGAAGCATTATGAGAGACCATGGAAGATTTGAGGGACAGTGAAATTTTCTTTATGGTACTGCACTGGTGAGCACATGCCTTTATGTACTTACCTGAACCGCTGAAAGTGCCCCAACATCGAACCCCAATGCATAGTATCAGCCTTATTTAATTCTGTGTGAATGTGGTCTTATTAATTGTAATAAATGTGTCATGCTAATGAAAGAGGTAAATCATAGAGAAACGTAAGGTGAAGGGGTGGATGTCATCCTTCCAGGTCTAGCTTATGTTTATAATATGTATCATCTTATTAAGATCTAACAAGTGCGGTGTCTTTACATGACCACTCACCAGGGTCTGCTCTCAGTGCCTGAATGTATGAACTCAACTTCAGGACAGGTCTTCTCATTCTTAATTCACACCTAAGGATCCTGAATCTCAATAGGCTAAGTAACTTGCTACACAGAAGAGGACTGGGAGTTTGAGCCCCTGAAATCTGTCTCTAGAACTTCTGCTCTTCACCTCTCTAAAATGCTGTTTTGCCAATGCACTCTTTTCTTTGAGGTTGGGCACCTGTTCCCCTGCCCGTACATGTGTTAAGATCTGTGTCTTGTTACAAACTCTGAGGATAGCAGGAGCTGTCAGAAATGGACTGTGATTTCATACTTCAGAAGAGAGAAACAAAGGGGGAAACCATTCATTTTTTTCCTCACAATTTGAAACCATAGGTATATGCAGTAGTCTAAAATACTAACAATAGCTACCTCCTCAAATGTAGAGGGGGGGGGTTTGTATTATGCTCCTCCTTAAGAGGCCATAGATGTTCAAATTTTTTTTATAACTTCATCCTCCAAAACATCTCATTGCTCGTGATATTTCAAGGTACTAGTTTCTTCCTGATTGAAGCAAGGTGTAGTCATTTTAAAATGCTAAAAGGAAAGCCAGGCATGGTGATGCATGCCTGTACCCCCATCACTTAGGAGGCTTGGGCAGACCAAGCTGGGTTATATAGCAAGGCCCGGTCTCAAAATGAACAAAAAAAGTCCACAAGGAAAATGACTTTTCTATTTAGTACTCTAAAACCTAATTGAGGCTTTTGACATGGGTGGGCCAAATTTGGGAGTCTTGGGAAGAGAAAGAACCTCAACTTAGTGATTGGTTAGGGGTGGGAGACTGACCTCTGAGAAAGGGCCAAGGCTTTAGGTGACTGGGATGGTTTTGTTTAGGCCCACACTTCCCAGTATTCATGCATACCACTGTCCTTGAGTGACCAACGTACAATGGACAGTGGTGGCTGGTGTGTGCACTGTGTCTCATGCAGTTCTCCCAGCTACTCTGGTTGCGATCCCACTTTCTGGACAATGAACGGGAAGCCTAGTGGCTTAAAGTTTTTATACTGTGTTAACATAGCCAGGATTCTGACATCAAAACCATTAATCCACTAAGTATCACTGCCCACAAACACCAAAAGGTGTCCAATGATGTTTCGGCTAAGATGGGACTTGACAAGTTCAGGTGAACAAAAATGATTTGTCTGGGACATCGAGTGATATTATTAATATATTCTCAAAGCAAAACTAG